GGAGCCACGAAACGTGTGAGGGGTGTGCCGAATTGGGTGTGGGGGAATGGGTGCGGGGACCGCGGTGGGCGCGGGCACTGGGCCTTCGGTGGAGCTCCCTATGGAGCCACGAAACGTGGTGAGGGGTGTGCCGAAATGGGTGTGGGGGACGCATGCGGCCGCGGCACTGGGCCTTCGGTGGAGCTCCCTATGGAGCCACGAAACGTGTGAGGGGTGTGCCGAAATGGGTGTGGTGACGCATGCGGCCGCGGGCACTGGGGCCTTCGGTGGAGCTCCCTATGGAGCCACGAAACGTGTGAGGGGTGTGCCGAAATGGGTGTGGGGGACGCATGCGGCCGCGGGCACTGGGGCCTTCGGTGGAGCTCCCTATGGAGCCACGAAACGTGTGAGGGGTGTGCCGAAATGGGTGTGGGGGACGCATGCGGCCGCGGGCACTGGGGCCTTCGGTGGAGCTCCCTATGGAGCCACGAAACGTGTGAGGGGTGTGCCGAAATGGGTGTGGGGGACGCATGCGGGCGCGGGCACTGGGGCCTTCGGTGGAGCTCCCTATGGAGCCACGAAACGTGTGAGGGGTGTGCCGAAATGGGTGTGGGGGACGCATGCGGCCGCGGGCACTGGGGCCTTCGGTGGAGCTCCCTATGGAGCCACGAAACGTGTGAGGGGTGTGCCGAAATGGGTGTGGGGGACGCATGCGGCCGCGGGCACTGGGGCCTTCGGTGGAGCTCCCTATGGAGCCACGAAACGTGTGAGGGGTGTGCCGAAATGGGTGTGGGGACGCATGCGGCCGCGGGCACTGGGGCCTTCGGTGGAGCTCCCTATGGAGCCACGAAACGTGTGAGGGGTGTGCCGAAATGGGTGTTGATGATGATGATGATGATGATGATGATGATGATGATGGGAGGGGGGAGGAGGCAGCGGGAGGAAGGAAGGAAGGAGAACGCGGGGCACCGTCTCTTCAAAACGAGGACCCAACACCACAGGATGGTTGGGAAAAACATCAAAAACCCAATGCTTTTTCACAAAAATTCTATAAATTTCCTGCCCGGGCTCTCTTGCTGAAATCATAGGAAAACCATAGGAATCTTAAGAACTCGGTCAAATCCAGCGATTTCACGTCATCGCGCGGTGCACTCGCGATGCTCTGTCATGCACCCAGGCCGCGAATCCTGTGCAAAAAACACCACGCGGGCGAATTGCGCGCGCGTCGCCGCGAGCGCATGCTCAAATCCTTCTAGAGTCGTCGCCGTCATTGGCACCGTCGCATGGACGTCCTGTCGTCCACGTCGCAAAATGCATGGCAAGAATGGGACCCGGCTTACCGGGCCGTTCTCGACACGGCCACCTCTGGCTTCCTGCGGTGTACCGGGCCATTCTCGACTCGTCTGGCAATGCGTGCGCGGCATTCAACACGCGCTCGCCAGTTCCCGTCGGCAACCGCCATCGCGGCCGCATCAGCTGTACCAAACCGGCTGGCCGGTGTGACTTCGGCCCCCAGTTGTGCCAGCTTTGCTTCTTATGTTGTGGGAGGGCGGGTGGGACTGGGCATGCCATGCTTGACTCGCTCGAGCTGGCTAGCTTGACTCCTACTCCTACTCCTACTCCTATCCTTATTCCTTATTAGAATATACTCCTACTCCCCCCTCAGGCCGGCAGATAGGGGCCGCATCCGGGTGGTCCCATCCTAACCTGTAAAAAACAATACGAAATCAACATTTTTCTTATTTTTTCCTCTCGACATGGACGTCCTGTCGTCCACGGCGATAATCCATTGCAAAAAATACCACAAAGAGCACACGCGCGCGTTCATGTCAGAATCCTACCGAACACCGTGTGTTTGCAAGCATTTCAACATAAAAACATCAAAAACCCAATGCTTTTTTCACAAAAAAATGTACAAATTTCCCGCCCGGGCTCTCTTGCTGAAATCATAGGAAAACCATAGGAATCTTAAGAATTCTGTCAAATCCAGCGATTTCACGTCATCGCGCGGTGCACTCGCGATGCTCTGTCATGCACCCAGGCCGCGAATCCTGTGCAAAAAAATACTACAAAGAGCACACTCGCGCGTTCATGTCAGAATCCTACCGAATACCGTGTTGTTGCAAGCATTTCAACATAAAAACATAAAAAACCCAATGCTTTTTCACAAAAATGCTTTGGGTGTCCTGTCAGACCGTCGGGCTTCCTCCGGCCACCTCTGGCTTCCTGCGGTGTACCGGGCCATTCTCGACTCGTCTGGCAATGCGTGCGCGGCATTCAACACGCGCTCGCCAGTTCCCGTCGGCAACCGCCATCGCGGCCGCATCAGCTGTACCAAACCGGCTGGCCGGTGTGACTTCGGCCCCCAGTTGTGCCAGCTTTGCTTCTTATGTTGTGGGAGGGCGGGTGGGACTGGGCATGCCATGCTTGACTCGCTCGAGCTGGCTAGCTTGACTCCTACTCCTACTCCTACTCCTACTCCTAGTCCTCCTCGTTCTCCTCCTCCTTAGAGAATCAGCTCACGTAGCTGACTTTCCAAGCGCCTCCCGGCGCCGGGAGGCGCCCATGTATCAAGGAACGGGCTCTGCGGCGGGGCCGAAACCAGCTGCATGCAGCAGATTTTGTACCCCCGCCTCTCCCTATCCCTCCCTCTCGTTTGGCCCGAACCCAGGGCCACTGAGGCTCCGAGGGGGCCCCAGGAGCAGGGCTGACCCCTGGGCCGGGAAGGATTTTTGTTGGGGCGGGAGGGGGGGGGGGCAAGTGCGCCCCACGACTCGCAGAGTAACTGCTCGCAAAGGGCCTGGATGCGCCACAGGGGGGATCTGCGGTCCTTGACATACGAAGAAGGCATGTTTTTTGTCTAGACTTTTGTGAGCAGGCACCCTGCGAGTAGTGGAACGCGCTCGGTGCCTTTCTGCTGGCGGCGACCTGGGTCCAAGGCGCGGTCGAGGCAGCGGGGGGCACGCAGGAGCCTCACACTGGGCACAGCAGGGCGGCGAGCGAGGGGAAGGAAGTGAGAAGGAGAAGGCCTCCTCAGAAGGCGGCGGGACTTCTCGGAAGCCCTCGCGCCTTCTGCGAGGTTTCTTGCGTCCTCGGGGAAGGCTTCGAAAACCTCTCAGAAGGCCGGGGGGCTTCCGAGCCTAGGGCTTCTCCTGCTCATTTTCCCCCCCCACCCCCCACCGCGCCGAACTCTTTCTGCCGGCGGCGACCTGGGTCAAATAGGCAAAAAAACGCCACAAAATAAAAACTTGTGGCGCTCCGCGCGGATTACTTGGATCTGTGCCGGACCCCCCTCCCTGGCGCGCGGAGCGCGCCAGGGGCGGCGCGGGGAGCAGGAGGAGGAGGAGCAGGAGGAGGAGGAGGAGGAGGAGGAGGAACAGGAGCCGGAGCAGGAGCAGGAGGAGGAGGAGGAGGAGGAAGGAGGAGGAGGGAGGGAGGAGGAGGAGGAGGAGAAGGAGGAGGGTAGAAGACGGACAGAGGACGCCGAGGGAGAACGGCCGCCTGGAGGCAAGCAGGGTGTTTCTTGGCATGGACCTCCACTGGTGCGCGTGCGTGCAGGGAGCACAAGCTTTTGCACGGGCAGCAAGAGCCGGGACTGGCAGGGCGAGCCTGCGCGCACAGGCGAAGGATGTGATGTAGGGGCCTTGGGCGCCCATGTCGAAGCTTTTCGAGCGGGGCGCGGCCAGCGACAGTGGCCAATGATGGACCGCGGAGGCAGGGATGCAAGGGTACCGTTGGGCAGGTTGCCCATCCTTGCTATGCGGGTCGTCTGTGCTAGAGTCGGACCGAGGCCAGAAGAACATCCTTCAAGAACATGGGATCCTCCACCAGCCAAAACACACAGAACATCCCAGAGCACCCTCTCCGAGAGAGAAAGATTTTTGTTGACGTGCAGGAAAGAGCTTTCCGACTCCGCAATAGACCAGTCGGCCAGTCGGCAAGTCGGGGAGTCGCCCAGACGGCCAATCAGAGTCGGCCAAAGACGGGGGGGGAGTCGGATAGTTACTCCTGGTGCCATCCAAATTGTCCAAATACCCCAGGATGCACAAGAACGTCAAGCATCCAACAAACACGAAGAATCCTAGGGTACCCTCGCCGAGCCGACCTCGTTCCTGTACCTCGGTCTGGCTGCAGGGAGATGCCCAGGCTTGGGAGCAGGGCAGCTCTATGGCCTGTGCCGCGACGCGGGAAGCGCGGGCACCCTCGCGAGGGCCGTGCATCCTCGGCAGGCTCGGGTCGGTCCACAGAGGTGTGCGCAGGAGAGGGGAGAGGGCGAGGAGAAGTTCGAAGGAGGCGCAGGAGCAGAGGGTGGAAGATTGACGGGGCCCTGGGGCACACAAATGAATAGACACAAATAACAGGACTCCCCATATGTTCCCATATCTTCTGGGCTTTCGTCTTCCCCCCCACTTCCCATATTTTTTCCCATATCTTCCGGGGAAGCGACGATTAATTGTGTCTGTGTTATTTCCCCTCCTGGAAGGCGAGGGTTCGAATGGGCCGCGGCCCCAGCGAGGCAGCCCCCAGCGACTCCGCAGAGGCCCCTGGCGTCGGCGGGATGCGGGGGTCACGAGGCGGCCTCACTGTGCAACCTGGGCCTCGGCCGCTCGGCCGGGGCCCCTGGGACCGGCCAGGACCGAGCAAGAGCACGATCTTGAGGAAACGGGATGCGAAGAACAAGGGAACAAAAGAAGAGAACGAAGAGCAAGAGGGTGCAGAGCTAGAGAGCCACGAAGACCGGGGGGAAGAGCAGGACGAGGAGGACAGGGCAATGTCGCCACAGCTGGGGCAGCGCGCGCACGCTCGGCGCATCTCCTCGGCCCTCAGTCCTCCGTCCTGCCCTTCTCCTGCCCTCCTTTCGCCTCCTCCCGCCCCCTCCGCGCGCACTTCCGGGCAAGCAACATCGCGCGCTGTGGGGCGTCGCCGGCGGCGACCGACGACGACGACGACGACGACGACGACGACGACGACGACGACGACGACGGAGAGCGGCGGGGCGGCCGAGCCGGAGGGCAGGCTGCCTGCCCGAGGTACGCCTCCTCGCGGAAAGCGTCCGCGGGGAGGCACGGGAGCGCGACCTGCGCGCGGGGGAAGGCACCGGCTGCCCTCGTGGTAGGTAAACTTACGGGCTCAGGGCAAACGTGCATAATCATCACCATCACACAATCACCATCGCCATCACCATCATCAGCATCATCACCATCAGCATCATCATCGCCATCATCATCATCATCATCATCATCATCATCAGCATCATCATCAGCATCATCAGCAGTATCAGCATCATCATCATCATCATCATCATCATCATCATCATCATCATCATCATCATCATCATCATCATCATCATCATCATCATCATCATCATCATCATCATCATACTCAGCATCATCATCGTCATCATCGTTATCGTAATCACCATACCATCACCATCCCTGCTCACAAATCGATGTCAGGACGCCGCGTATGAGCGCGAGGTGTCGCTGAATGCCTGCATGCGCAGATCTGAGATGAGGCTACCAATCCTGGTTTGGCTGCCAAAGTTGCCAGTCGAACGAATTCGATTGTCGCGCTGCCCGATTAAGGGCGTCGTCGAACGGCTGAACCGAATGACGCACGGAAGATGGGCTAGGAAGAGACCCAGACCCTGATAGGTCAGAATACCAGGTACTCCAAGATGTACCAAAGGCACCCCCACAAGCCACCCCGCCAGCGCTTTCTGTCCCTCCTCCCCCAACACTGCCGAACCCAACCCCTGACGCGACCCTGGGGGAAGGGGAGAACGAGGGAGGGGGAGCGAGGCAGAGAGGGAGAGGAATGGGGCCAGGGGAAGGGCAAGGGGAGAGCAGAGGGAAGAGTGCAGCTCTTGAGAAAGATAGACTCCGACGGCAGAATGCAGCATCGAGTCATGATGAGTGTGGACAGCTGCGCGACCATCGAACACGTGTTTATATGTAGACAAATACAATATACATTTTATATATACACACATATATATATATAGATACAGATATATACATACATATATACATATAAACATATATGCATATATACGCGTGATATATAGCATTGAAATCGCTCCCTTTCATCACACACAGATGTATATATATGTGCATACGCAAATACAGATGAGAGAACGCGTTTCGTGGACGCCTTCCTGCAAAAAAACACCTTGGCACGTTAAAACTGGGCCACCCCCCTTACATCGAGCGCCCCTGGAGAATGAGGGGGGGGGCGCCCAACTCCTGAACCAGCCTCCGTAACCGCTCCCACCTCCTCAGAGGGGAGTTCGAACCGGGGCGGAGGGGCCAAGACAGAGGGAGAGGGAAGGGGCCAGGGGAAGGGCAAGGAGAGAGCAGAGGGAAGAGTGCAGCTCTTGAGAAAGATATACTCCGACGAGAATGCAGCATCGAGCAGTGATGAGTGTGGACAGCTTTGCGACCATCGGACACGCACGTACACATATGTAGATATGCATACAATGTGTATTATAGTATGCTACATTGTATTAGCACAACATCGTATATGGAATCAACTTACATAAATCGAACATCTAAGGGATTCACATTGATATATCATCGACGTCTCTCTCTGTCTCAACTCGTCTAGACCTTTGTGCATAGATATACACATGCTTATGCATATGCAAACACATATGAGAGAACGCGTTTCGTGGACGCTTCCCTGCCAAAAAACACCTTTACACGTTGCAACTGGGCCCCCCTCTTTATCATCGAGCGCCCCTCGAGAACCCCCCCCTCTGGACACCAGCCCTCCTAACCGCTCGCCCCTCCTCAAAAGGCGGGGGTTGAACCGGGGGGGCCAACTATCCAAAGGCGGGGGGGGGTTCGACCTAGGTTCGCTGCCCAAGGGCGCCGGCGCCGGCGCCGGCGCCCTTGGGCAACGACGACGAGGGGCCGCCCCCCCCCCCTGCAACCGACGACGGCGAGCGCCAGCGCTGGAGCCGGCACTGTCGGGCAGCGACGACGACGACGAAGACGACTACGACGCCAGCGCCAGCGTTGTCGGGCAGCGACGACGGCGGCGACGACGACGACGACGGCGGTGGCGGCGTTAACGACGACGGCGACCGCACCGACGGCGACGGCGAGGGCGACAGCGACGGCGACGGCGGCGACGGCGGCGGCGGCGGCAGCGGCGACGGCGTCGGCGGCCGACGACGACGACGACGACGACGCCGGCGCCAGAGCTGTCAGGCAGCGACGACGAGGACGACGGCGACCGCAGCGACGGCGACGGCGACGGCGACGGCGACGGCGAAGGCGACGGCGACGGCGGCGGCGGCGGCAGCGGCAGCGGCGGCGACGGACGACGACGACGACGACGACGACAACGACGACGACAGCGGCGACAAACGGAGACGGCGACGGCGACGGCGACGGCGACGGCGACCAGCGACGACGACGATGCGCACAAGGGGTGGGGGTAGGGGGGCCCGGTTCGAACCCTCCCCCTTGCAAATCGGAATGATTTTCTCTCCCGTTAAACTGGGATCTTTCCTGGTAGACTGGGTTCTTTCCTGGTTCCAGACGTTTCTGAGGGCTTTTGAGAGTTTCAGAGAGCGTCCGAGAGCTTCAGAGAGCTTCAGAAACTTCAGAGAGCATCAGAGGCCTTCAGAGGGCTTTACAGAGCTTCACCGAGCTGTTGAGCTTCAGAGAGCTCCCGAGGGTTTTTGCGAGCTTCAGAACGCTTCCGAGAGTTTCAGAGAGCTTCGAAGAGCTTCAGAGAGCTTCAGAACGCTTCCGAGAGTTTCAGAGAGCTTCAAAGAGCTCCAGAGAGCTTCAGAGAGCTTCAGAGAGCTTATAGTTTTTAAATTTGCGGCTTGCTGGAGGATCGAGAGTTCTCCAGCTTTCCCCTCGTCCCAGGGATGGCGCGGCATTGGGCTCCAAGAAACGGGGGGCCGAAGGCACACGGCAACACTATACGGCACGATGGAGCACACTAGAGCACTGCACACCAGTATACAGTACTACGCAGCACACCACAGCACACTACAGCACTATAGAGCACTACGCAGCACAGTACACACCATACATCACACTACTGCACTATACATCACTATAAAGCACGACTGCACACCACAGCACACTACAGCAATATACATCATCACTATAAAGCACACTACAGCACCATACAGCACTATGCAGCACGATGCGGCACTACTGCACACAACAGCACACTATACAATTATACATTACTGTACACAAAACCACACCAGAAACATCATCATCATCATCATCATCATAATCATCATCAACATCATCATCAGCATCATCATCATCATCAACATCAGCATCATCATCACCATCATCATCATCACCATCATCATCATCATCATCATCATGGGCTCCCCCACGGGGGGCCAATACGCCACAATACAGATGACAATACGCAGGGGTCTCTGATGGACTCCCCGCGTAGCACTAGTAGTAGTAGTAGTAGTGGTAGTAGTAGTAGTAGTAGTAGTAGTAGTAGCAGCAGCTCGTAGTCGAAGTAGTAGTCGAAGTAGTAGTAGTCGAAGTAGTAGTAGTAGTAGTAGTAGTAGTAGTAGTAGTAGTAGTAGTAGTAGTAGTAGTAGTAGTAGTAGTAGTAGTAGTAATAGTACAAGTAGTAATAGTAGTGGAAATAGTGGTGGTAGTGGTAGTAACAGTAGCAGTGGTAATAGTAGTAGTAGTAGTAGTGGTAGTAGTAGTAGTAGTAGTAGTAGTAGTAGTAGTAGTAGTAGTATTCGTAGTAGTAGTAGTAATACGAATAATGATAGTATTAGTAATTGTAGTAGTAGTAGTAAAAGTAGTAGTAGAAGAAGAAGAAGTAGTAGTAGTAGGAGGAGGAGGAGGAGGAGTAGGAGTAGGAGTCAAGCTAGCCAGCTCGAGCGAGTCAAGCATGGCATGCCCAGTCCCACCCGCCCTCCCACAACATAAAAAGCAAAGCTGGCACAACTGGGGGCCGAAGTCACACCGGCCAGCCGGTTTGGTACAGCTGATGCGGCCGCGATGGCGGTTGCCGACGGGAACTGGCGAGCGCGTGATGAATGCCGCGCACGCATTGCCAGACGAGTCGAGAATGGCCTGGTACACCGCAGGAAGCCAGAGGTGGCCGGAGGAAGCCCGACGGTCTGACAGGACACCCCAAAGCATTTTTGTGAAAAAGCATTGGGTTTTTGATGTTTTTATGTTGAAATGCTTGCAAACACACGGTGTTCGGTAGGATTCTGACATGAACGCGCGAGTGTGCTCTTTGTGGTATTTTTTGCACAGGATTCGCGGCCTGGGTGCATGACAGAGCATCGCGAGTGCACCGCGCGATGACGTGAAATCGCTGGATTTGACAGAACTCTTAAGATTCCTATGGTTTTCCTATGATTTCAGCAAGAAAGCCCGGGCGGGGAAATTGTACAATTTGTGTGAAAAAGCATTGGGTTTTTGATGTTTTTGTTGAAATGCTTGCAAACACACTGTGTTCGGTAGGATTCTGACATGAACGCGCGCGTGTGCTCTTTGTGGTATTTTTTGCAATGGATTATCGCCGTGGACGACAGGACGTCCATGTCGAGAGGAAAAAATAAGAAAAATGTTGATTTTTATATTGTTTTTTACAGGTTAGGATGGGACCCCCCGGATGCGGCCCCTAATGGCCGGCCTGAGGGGGGAGTAGAAGTATACTCTAATAAGGACTAAGGATAAGAAACCCGACGCGCTCCACTTTCCATATGGATTTCGAACAAAGCTCTACAAGCAACTGTTTTCGATGGAACCAGAAGACGCCCCTATTTGCCATAGCGAGTCCTGTAGCAATTGGTCTATATTTCTACAACCACTACCACCACAACCACTGCCATCACTACAACTACAGCCGCTACTACTGCTACTACTACTACTACTACTACTACTACTACTACTACTACTACTACTACTACTACTACTACTACTACTACTACTACTACTACTACTACTACTACTACTACTACTACTACTACGACTACTACTACCTACGACTACTACTACTACTACTACTACTACTACTACTACTACCTACTACTACTACTACTACTACTACT